AATAGTAATAAGATAAATAGTGTAATTAAAACAACGCGAATAATAAATGTTACAAATAAAATTAATGATGTGTCACGATATTAAATTGAATGTTACACATCCACGAAAGTAATTATATCGCGTTAAATTGTTACACTGGACTTGGTAATCCATGGACTTCTGCATAATTTTCTAGAAAATTCTTTACTACCTCTGCAACACTTTTGTCAATCACCATTTTAGTTTTCCATTGAGGCATTCTTTTAATATTACCATGAACTCTTGGTAAAAGGCCATTGTTTATCAGATGATTTCTAATGTTTTCAAAGTAAGTTCTACCAATTCCCAACTTATTGAGATAAGTTTCTTGACAAAGGAGTGTATTATGATCTCAGTGATAGAAAGTTCTTTTGTTAGATCTATTTTTCTTTTTAAGGCATCTACTGGCACTTACTGTCCCACCATGCATTGCTTTAATCTGGGCCATTAAAAATATGTCTTGTTCTGATTTGGTAAGAGCTTGAAAGGATTCTCTTAATTCTGCAAATTGTTCCTTGGGAATTCTTGAAGAACAACCACAACCACAATCTTTTTCTAAAAATCAATGGCTTTTTCATATTCATTAGAACCATTATATTTGTTAATAATTTTCATATACACTTATCCCTATATATAATTTTATGTTCACTTTGTAGGTTTCTTTGATTATTTTAAAATCAAAGGTTTTAAGGTTGTATGGAATAGAATTAAATTGTGAATTTTTTTAGCATTAAGTTAAGTTTGGATGGAAAGTCTGTGTTCATTTCATTATGAAAAACCTTGTCAATCTTGACAAAAGAAATACAAATAAGGAAATTTGTTTACATAAAAAACATCAACCATTCTTACATATATGTATATTAGCTTTAGTTTTACAAATATATCCAAATTTTTAATTAGCATAAAAGAATTTGAAATCATGCACAAACATGATTGCTTGATTGACCTTGGAACATGGAATGGTGTAATTGGTCTAGCCTTGGATTCCATGTAATCACTCTGGCAATTTTTTTATTGTATATTTTAAATATAATTAATTATATATCTTTAATAAAACAAACATGACTTAGCTATTTAATCATTTCCTTGTATGTGAATGCCTCCATCCATCAAATAT